CCCTTCAGGAAGTTGAAGGCTGCTATCAAATCCCCCCTCACTCTTCGCTTCTGCAGACCCAACTCCCTCAGCCTCTCCTCCTAAGTCATATGCTCCAGCCCCCTAATCATTTTGGTTGCCCTCCGCAGGACCATCTCCAATGCGTCCACATCCTTTTTGTAGTGGGGGGCCCAGAACTGGACACAATACTCCAGCTGTGGCCTCACCAAAGCCGAATAAAGGGGAGTAATGACATCTCTGGATCTGCTGGCAATGCAGATCTTAATGCAACCTAATATGCCATTAGCCTTCTTGGCTACAAGGGCACACTGTTGACTCATATCCAGCTTCTCATCCACTGTAACCCCCAGGTCCTTTTCTGCAGAACTACTACTTAACTGGTTGGTCCCCAGCCTGTAACAATGCTTGGGATTCTTCCGTCCCAAGTGCAGGACTCTGCACTTGTCCTTGTTGAAATCATCAGATTTCTTGTGACCCAATCCTCCAATTTGTCTAAGTCACGCTGGACCCTATCTCTGCCCTCAAGCGTATCTACCTCTCCCCCCAGCTTAGTGTCATCCACAAACTTGCTGAGGGTGCAATCCATCCCCTCATCCAGGTCATTAATAAAGATGGGATTTTGGATCTTGCTGGCCTAAGCCTGCCTGCCCCACACCGATCAGGATTTGGGTTGGGCCAGTGAGCCCAGACTGTCTCTCTCGCTATCGTGGTGCGCCTGATGCAGGGGGCAGGGTCCTGGCCTCTTTCTGGTTCCGACCCAGCTCTCGGGCTATGTCAGGGTCAGGGACAGCCTTACAGTCCCTTGGGGGAGGAGGGGAACTTCTCCCACCCCGCAGCCAATCGCATGTGCGCCCCACGGCCACGCTTTTAAAACATGTCCAGATTGTTTCACTTGCGGGCGCAGGCTGGCTCCTTCTCCATGGCCGAACTCCCCGCCAGGCCTGGCTCCGCGAAGTCCGGTGGCGTCCAGCGGCGTCTCGCCGCCGGGCTGAGGGAGGGGAGCTTGTGACGGGCCTCCCGGCCACACCCAGCGCAGGGGGGTGCCCGCAGATGTGGGTTGGCTCCCGCCCTCGGTCACTAACTCCGCGCTCTTTGTGCCTGACCCGCCGCTCACACGGGCAGTGGAGAGGCGGGGCTGCCCCCTCCCTGTCCCTGCGCGGCACAGACGGAGCCGAGCCGGGCGCCGGAGCATAGCGACAGGAGGCGGCGGCGGCAGCCCGAGCTGCCGGAGGAACGTCGCCAAGCGGGGCCTGTTGTGCTCCGGGGGGCGAGGTCCCGGGGGACCGGTTAGCGCGTGACACGCGCGGGGACCCGGAAGTAGTTGCCGCGTCTCTCTCCATGCGCCGGCTCCTGGCAACTGGCGAGAGGGAGGGAGCGAGTCGGCAGCCTGCGAGACCCGCCGGCGCGGGAGCGGCCACTGGCCGCCACGATGCTGAGGGGGGCAGTGGAGGGGCAGGTCACCGCGGTCACCAGAGCCCTGTCGGCGGGTAGGTGCCTCCCTGCCCCGTTCCCCAGGGGCCACACGGTTCTGCCCCCACCCCGCGTCATCAGCTTCGCCGTTCCCGGCCCCAGGAGCCCCGAGTCGCGCGGGCCGGAGTGTGACGGGGCAGCACCGCCTCGGCTTTCCCTGGCCGCTTCCTCCTCTCGCCCGGCGCCTCAGCCTAACTCAGCCCTGGGTGTGACCGAGCCGCTGTCCGGCTGCGCCCCCAGCTCCGCTCGTCAGAGCCAGTCTCCCTGCGTCCGCTGAGAGGCCCTTGGGACAAGACTGAGTCACTGTGCAGCGCCAAGCACATACCGGCGCTCAAGTACCTCTGGGTGCCAGCCAGACATAGCCCCACCCCCAACACATAGCCCGAGATGTGCTACCACCTAGGGCCACCATCCTGCAAACACTTAAGCACGTGGTTCATTTTATCGACTTTGACTTCGTGTAAACGACTGCCCGATCCTTAAGAGGAAATGGTGATTTGTAGGGTTCTTACAAGTGTAACAAGCTTACAGCAAATGTTGTTTCATAGGTGTCTCCAAATAAAGCTTCTATCTTTGGCAAAGTGCTTTGGACTGTGCTAGATTATAAGCACTGATTACCCAGGCCACTATGTTTAACAGGAAGCTGGACACTGCTAAACAAATTTGTGCTGCCAGTGCCAAACCTTTGGTATTTTTGGGGAGTTAATAAGTAGTGAAGCACCATAGGTAGAGCATCAAGTACAGTATTTCAAGATAGTAAAAAGCAAGTGTGTAAACTGATAGTTTAATTTGTGCATGCTGTGCAATAAGCAACTCCTCCATTTTTTGTAGCTATTGCATGGAGGCAGTAGTATAGGAATTTTATGGGGTGAGGAATGCGTTTGCTTGCTGATTTTAGGACCTGATCCTGCACACACTTACACACATTTAACTTGCCTCCTGGAAATAATTCCACTGAAATCCAAAACTAAGCACATGTTTAAGTGTTTTCTGGATCAGAGCCCTTATTTGTTTGAGCAATACTGAAAGAAAGACGGTCTTAAAATCACTGTTATATAGTTGAGGTTTAAAATGCAGGTTTTGCAAAACTGTGTTCATATGCATAGAGCACTTCGTGAGCTAAATGCTTTTCTATTTAGTTTGGTTTTGTTGTATATGAACATTATCCTTTAGTGGTTTTAACCCAAATATTGCATTATTATGTCAATGAGGGCCAGAGCGTGAAATTAAACAATCTGTTTTAACTGCTGCAAGGGAATGTTGTATAAAGAGTTAGCAGCATAAATGATAAATACATCTAAATTTCAGTATTTTACTGCTAGCAATTCTCTATTGATCATAACAAATGGAATGTTATTTTAAAAGATTTAAATTAGCAAGTCCTTATTTAGAGACATTATGGACTTTGAAAATACAATAGTGTACTTGTCATAAATTAAGAGTTGGACAATTTTGCGAGTTGATACAACCTTTGATACAAAGTATAAAAATTGTGTAAAATGTGAATCAAAATGTCTCCTGATTTTAATGATTAGATAGTTGGTGAAATACTTCTGGATTCAGGATAGAAAGAAAATTCTCAACCAGAAAATGAAGCTAAGTTTCTCTTACGCTTTTGTTTACAGCTTCTGTTCTCTGTCAAGTTGAACCTGTAGGAAGATGGTTTGAAGCATTTATTAAGAGGAGAAACATAAATGTTTCTGCCTCTTTCCAGGAACTGGAGGATGAGAAAGAGCTCAGTGAAGAGTCAGGGGATGAAGAATTGCAGCTTGAGGAATTTCCTATGTTAAAAACACTTGATCCAAAGGACTGGAAGGTATACAGCTCACGTGACTATTGAACTGTTTCTTTTTGCTAGAAGCACCACAAAGTTATTTAAATATTTGTTCCTTTTCTCATCAGAATTTTCCAAGTTTTTTAGCCCTATAGCTTCCTTTTTGTATTCCACAAGTATGGTGATTTAAGGACTTGTCTACATTGGGAACTTACAGCAGCCTAGCTATGTCTCCCAGTGTGAAAAATCCAAAACACTAGGAGACAAAGCTGTGCTTCCTAACTACTCATTTTAGACAGTGCAGGGTTGAAAGAAGAATTCTTTTTTTTACCTACCTACTGCTTCTCAGGGAGTGGATTATCTGCGCTGAAGGGAGAAACCCTCTTCTTAATGTTATTAGTAGTGACTGCGCTGTTGTAGTACTTCAGTGTAGCTGCAACAGTTTAAGTTTTACCTAAGTGAAGACAGTTTTACAAAGTATTCTCCTTTTAGTGTGTCAGTAAATTCCCTGTTGTTAAATAGACTGAGAGTTGGTCTATATTACGAAACCAGGTTTGCTTAACTGCATTACTCCAGGCTGCAAAAGCTTTCATGCCTTGTGCAATGTCATTAAACTGCTCTAAGCCCCAGTGTAGGTACTCAAAGGAAGACTTCTCAGAAGTATGGATATACTACAGTGGCAGAGGAACCTCTTCTGTCACTGTAGTGAGTCTACACTACAGTGGCGCTGCTGTAGCATTTCGAGTGAGACATAGCTTAATAAATGTGAATCAGAAGGAGATCTTAGCCTTTACATTCCATTTCCTGCTTAACTGGGGGTACAATTAGTGAACTGATTGGCTTGAGATCCACTGCTAAACCCACTAAAATTAAGTGGCTGTCAGTAAAAAAAAGATGGGTTTTTTCCTTCTGGGGAAATCTAGGCACTTCTTCAACATAACATTACTTGACAAATTGAGATATATACTGTACTCTTTGTTTTGTAAAATCTAGCTATAAGAATATAAGAATGTATTAAACTGTCTGCATTTTTATAAGAATGGTGGTGGCTGAAGTTTGGAATCCTGCCCATCCTGGGGACAGCCACCACCAGCTTCCCAAGGGATGGAGCTGCCACCCTTCGAAGGTAGGAAGGATTAGGGGGTGCCTGAAGGTAGGGAGGTTGGGGAGCTCCTCCAGTGGCACAGTGGATAAGGCCTCTGCCTCCGGAGCCCAAGATCAAGGGCAAACTCCCCCATGCTTACCATGCAACCATTCCATTTATAGTTAGACATTGTTATAGTCTGTGGGAGAACTGGTCAAAGTTCCTTTTTTAATCTTTACACATTGAGTGGTGCTTGCACCCTCTCTTTGCTCCTCTCAAAATAAACTATGGAAAGAAATTTTTCACTAATGGTATTGGTCTGCAATAGGGATGTTAGTGTGTAGTCAATTACATAATTAACCAATAAGCCTGAGTTTATCGGTTAATCCTAATGACACACACACCCCGCCCCCTTGCTGTCTCTATCAGAGACTGCCTGAGGGGAAAGGAGAGTTGGCAGCAGTACAGGGGAGCGAGGGGGCAGGTGGGAGCTAGTACATGCGGGAAGCGGCTTTCGGCTCCTGTGGAACAGTCTGCCCCCAGGGAGTCAGCCTTTAAGCCAGCTCTCTGCAAGCACTGGCTCCTGCCTGCCTCCCTGCTCCCCCCACCCACATGTAAACATGAAACCACTAAAATGTCTGGCAGTTACACATTTACACAAATACACAATAGTTAACATCCCTTGTTTGCATATGTGGTCTTGTTTATAAAGTTCATAAGATAATTCTACTAAACTACTGGTAGCTATGGTTATTAGTGTTTGTTTCTTTATCAGAATCAGGATCACTATGCTGTTCTTGGACTGGGACATGTAAGATACAGGGCCGCTCAGAAACAAATCAAAGCAGCTCGTAAGTAATTACATTTCTTATTAGTGATCTTAGACTAGAGTATTTTTATTTTGCGTATACAATTCCATATTGTAAGTACAAATATGTATACTTAACAGACAAAGAATATATTTATCTCACTTAAGAGTGCTCACCATGAAGCTGGATTTATTTCACTTACCAACTTTCATTGGTCCTAAACATATGAAACCTGTAGGTCTAAAAGTTTAGTGAATTCCAAACAATGTAATTAACATTTACATTCTCATATGCTAATCTGATGTTACAATCTTCTTAATATTCCAGTTCCTTAAGCAAGAAGATGCGGGAGCTTGTGCAGTTACACTGCTTAGTGACATGCCACAAATTTGTCATAAGGCATGAAGTATGATTCATCTGGACAAATTACATGTTTTGGGGTGTTTTTAAATCGTTAAATGTATAAATTCCATAAAAGTATCTGCCATATTTTATATTCTAAAATTGTAATTAGTACTTTAAAGTAATACTGTAAAGAGAGAACTTTAAGAGAAATAGTAAAATATTTAGCTTAACAATATTCAAAACAGTTACGATAACTTTGTGAAATAAATTGATTGATTTAGGGGATGATCCTGCAAACATTTATGCATGTAAGTAAATTCATTGTCTCCAAAGTTTTAACCAGTTGTCTCACATTGGTTAAGTCAGCTTTCTACTAAATGTAAATGTTAAATGCCCAGTGAGAAGTACCACCACCCCAATTAATGCAAATTTCCATATTAACTATTTTGACAAAAGGCCAAGGACCAAATAGTCCAAGATACCTGCAATACCCTCTTCTCAGAGGTGGCCCTATACAGAGTTAGGTCATATTGGTGTGAAAATGAGAGTTGGTTCTCAGTGTTCCCTCTACGCAGGAGGCAGGCAGGAGTCGGTGCTGGAAGGAGCCAGCAGTGAGAGGCTGCTCTATGGGATGCCTGAGCCCACCACAGACAGAGACTGCTCTGGGACAGCCTCTGTCCACAGGGAGCTCGGACCCCCCACGGACAAGGGCTGCTGCCATCCCATGCTGCTGTCTCTGTATCAAAGGCAGTAGTTCAGGGTGGTGGGGAGCTGGTTTTTAAACTGGCTCCCCTTGTGGACCAGCTTCACCTGCCACCCCACGCTGCTGCCTCTGTTTAAAAGGCAGCAGTGCGGGTTAGCAGGGGGCTGTCAGGGAGTGGGGCTGGGCCACAATGGCTGTCGTCCCCACCCCAAGGGACTGTCGAGTAGTCATGTAACCATTAAGATTTCATGCAGTTACACAGTTATTCAATTATACAATATTTAACATCCCTAGTAAGAGTTAGGGCATATGGGTGTGAAAATGAGAGCTTTCACTCTTGATTCATGCACTATCCCTGTTCTGTGAATTAGAAGCTTTAATTTCCTTCCTTTCACAAGTAACAGATTTATGTAATTACTCCTGTTCTGCTTCGTATATCTGATAAATGAGGTCAGATGCATTTCCTGCGCTGGTTCCAGTACAGCTTTGAATGTTGAAGAGTTCTGTCACTGAAGGAAGCCTGCAGCTAGTGCATGCAGACAGGTTAAAGTCATTAAGGATATGTCTACACTACAGCGTTAATTCAAGTTAACTTAATTCAAAATAGTTAATTTGAATTAAGCTATTTGAAATAACACATCTATACACAAAAACTATTTCAAAATAGCATTTTGCTATTTTGAAATATCACGTCCACACTGAGTGGACCCTGAACCAAAGTTAAGGCTGGCCGGAACCAGTGCCGGCAGGGCATCAGGTTAGGACCTAGTATGTGGGGCTGCTGCCTGAGGCTAACTGAGCTCTGTGCTTAAAGGACAGACAGTTCTCAGGGTTCCCCGCTTCTTTGTCTACCTTGAGAGGGACAGCAGAGCAGTCATATCTTGGAGTGTCTTGAGTGCCCGCACTCAGGACACCACAGCACTCGGCCACATGGAGACAGCGCTGCTCCTGGGCATGCCAGTGTGTCTCGTGGAGTTGTTGCCATCAGCCCAGCTGCATTTGCTGCAGGCTGCCATCCGGGGGGTCCATCGGGGGGGCTGTCAGGATTCAGGAGGCCCTGCAGGAGAGCGTCCACCCCGAGGAGCCCTCAGAGCCTCCTTGGTCCTCCCCACCAGGGGCTCGTGCCCCATTCCTCCCTCACATCCTTCCACATACCCCTCCCTAGCCCCCCTTCCTGATGTCAAATAAAAGACACATATGTTCAAAAATAGAAACTGGGTTTATTGAACAAAACTGAGGGGTGGTGAATGAACCTCTGGGGAGACTGGGAAAAGGAGAGGGGAGGGGGAAACCTAGGAGGAGGGAGCTGGAAGGGGGAAGAAGGGGGAGGGGAAGCTCAGTGCCAAGGGTTGGGGGTCTCGCCGGACCAACTTGAGTTTCATGCAAACCTGCTCCTGGGTTCGTATGTGGCCTTTGGTGGCCAGACTGGCAGCTACCCTGCCATAGATGGCCTCATTCCTCCATCTAGTGCAGAGATCATGGACATTGGGGGCATCCCCCCCAAACCTGAATAAGGTCCATGATCTCCACCCTGGACCAGGAAGGCGCCCGACTTCTCCAGCCCCTGTCAGGCTCTTGCGAGCTGGCAGACTGCTCCTGGGGAGCAGTGGAGGGCTGGCTGGCAGTGGCTTTTTTGGGTGTGTTTTT